AGAATCCCCACTGAATAGTTTTCATCTTGTCTTGGGTCTAGTGAAAGGAGATAGGGATAAGATTCTTATGAATCAATAGTGAATAAATTCTATAATGATTGACGGATTGTCACAACTGTAAAGGTAGAAGTTTTGAAACAAAAGAGAGGAGTAGTTAATGTTACAGTCCACAAGAGAGGACCTTAGGACCATCAAGGGAGAAGAGCATGAGCTGAATGTGGGACCCTATACAAACAAATAGTGACACCAGAGAAGGAAGCAGAGATGACATGGAGAGAGAGTAGCTGAGGACTGTACACTCATGGAAAGAGAGAGACTGTGTGCTGGCAGCCAGGAAGCAGGCTTGCAGAATATGCCTTCTGGTTGTTTAAATGATATATATTTCTGAGTTTTGTTTACATCCTGCCACCCACCCCACCCAAAAAAAACAGAGGGAATAGAAGCAAATACTGTTAAACGATGATGCACAGAGGAGCACTGCATGATGCACTCATCGCAATGAAACGACGAGTATAAAACCAATGTTCTCCCATGTAAACTATAACTCAATTCACAATAAAAACTTAAAAAAAAACAAACACAAATTTCTCTAGCCAGAGTAGTACATCACCATGGCTGGCGCTGGGGGCAGAGTACTTGGCACTGGACTTTCGAATGATGTTCTCGTGGATCTGGGACCATTCACTTTCATTGTTGCACCTGCAACAGAAGGACAGATATTATGGTTCTCATGATTTTAAAACAGCCATGTGACTTTCCAATGTGGGACACTAAATTTTAAAGGAAAAGGACTGCTGACTTCCTTAAGAAATGACTGCATGTTTTACCAAATTACACAAGAGCTAGTTTCCTATTAAGACACACAAGAGATTCATACTTGTGGATAGCTTTGGTTGGTTGTTGGTTATATGCCGTAGAGTCAGTTCCGACTCATAGCGACCCTGTACAGGATTTCCAAGGCTGTAAATCTTAACGGGAGCAGAAAGCCTCATCTTTCTCCCAAGGAGCTGCTGGTAGTTTCGAATTGCTGACCTTGAGGTTCGCAGCCCAATTCATAACCACTATTCTACCAGAGCTCCTTGTGGAAAGGGAAGAAACTCCTAAATGAATCTCTGGAAATAATTTTAAAGTGGTTAAATGTCATCTTCTCTGAAATACCACTCTCCCATATGACAAGTTCTTTCTTTTCTAACACCCCTTGCTCACACACACATACAAAACCATGTACTAGAGAATAGTTCTCGAGAGAGGGAAGCACAGTTCCTTCTCATACTACTGTTTAGAATGTACCATGCTTTGCAAGAACTATACTATCATTATATAGGCGTCCCTGGATTATGAAGGAGTTCTGGTCCTAAATATGTCTTTAAAGTTTAATTTGTATTTAAGTCAGATAATTAGAAACAGTTTGTATCTAACATCAGTTAGTCATGTCTTAGTACATATAGTGTACACTTCTATCTATAAAAACATTAAAGAAATACTTCCAAATATACTAAAACATCTTTAGCATAAAAATACAAGAATAATGTTCCCTGATGTGATACTACAGGATAAGCACTGGACTGCCAACCTCAAGGTTAGCACCATTCACTACTCTGAACCTTATATAGGATTGCTATGAGTCAGAACTGATTTGATGGCACTTAACATTTTGATGCATGCCACAAAAGTAGTGCTCGTTTGTTATTACGAACCATTGTATGTACCTGGAATTTTTAATATAATAGAATTTATGAGCTGTACATTGCAGGATACTTGGAACCCAGGGACTGCGTGTACTGGCCCCTGAGGAAAGTCTTTTTGAAACTTAGGGCATTTGGAAACTATGTTTTTGGCTATATTGTAGCCAGAAAAATATAAGAAAAACACCTTGGGATAGTAGTAGGTTTGAGTCCCTGTGAAGTTCTCTGCAATTAAGGGGAAGACCTTAGCAGAGAAAGCTAGATGCCTAAATATATACAGATAAGCTCTTATCCTAGGTACTCTTCTGGAGTGGTTACGAATCAGGCTGTGAACCGCAAGGTCAGCAATTTGAAACTACCAGCTGTTCCATGGGAGAAAGATGAGGCTTTCTGTTCCTGTAAAGATTTACAGCCTCAGAAACTCTATACAGGGTCACTATGAGTTGGAACCAACTCCACAGCACATCACCACCACCACCACCAAGTAAAAGAAAACAAAGAAACACTGTACTTTAATGGCTAAATTCCCCTTCTGAAGGGCAATGCCAAGACAGTTGCAAACAAAATCAGTGTGGTGCAGTAACTTACATAATAAAGCCGTTGTCTTTGTGCTTCCCACAGAATGATTGTGTGGGACTACGAAAATAAAGTGTTTGTAGTACACCAAGGGAATTGGGCAGCCTGGTAACAGGGCAAATAAAGTACATGAAACAGTTGTGGGTGTAGTACCATGCAGTAAGGTACATGGAACCCTAACAAGGAATAAGTCAGTTTTGACACAAGGCAAAATATAAGCACATCCCCGAGGCGAAAGAGGGGCCTCACTACCATCAAGAAAAAATAGCCAGGAGAGAAGCTTGTCTTGGGCCCAGGATCCCTGCACTAAGAACCTCCTGGACCCAGGTGACAGAGAACTATTACATTGAAGTCAGTGAGAAATGGCACAGTAGCAGCAAGAAGCAGTGAGAACAGGAGC